ACACGTTCTTCAGAGCACCAATATACACGATCCCATGGCACAAAACGGGACAAACACTACTAATAAAAGGCCCACACCCAACAATCACTCCCACCCTGCGGACCTGGGCAACCCTCAAACCAAACACACAAATATCACCTCACCCATCCCCACTCTACCCGATCTCACATAATCCGCTCTTCCAACCAGGGGCAGACGGCAAGGCGCTGAAACTCTTCCAAACAAAAGCTTACCTTTCGCTGGGAGACTTACTAGACGAGACTGGGGAACAACGGGTCAAACCACTACAGAACCTCATTGAATCACCAAACGCGATACAAAAACTCCCATACAACCAACTAACACACTTCATACATTCAGGACCACTAACACAGGGGAAAAACACAAACCACATTCGAACAGCACTGCTCCAACCAGGATCTAAAAACAAAATACATATCACTAATGTACAATACTATCCAAACAACACACACTCACCAATTACCAACGTTCACCACAACATGGCAAATGGAATTAAAGCTGGAGATATCCAGAAGTAAATGGAAAAAGATCTTCAGACAAATACATAAAACCTCTAGAAACACTATAGCTCAGCAAAGCAACTATAAAAGGATAGCCAGATGGCACTACACACCATCGAAGCTACACCACCTCTTCCCCACAACAGCAGATAGATGCTGGAGAGGCCAGCATCCCAACAGTACAACTACACACATATGGTGGACATGCCCAGAGATTCGCAAATACTGGATGCGAGTTTCGGGGGTGATATACCAGATTCTCCGGAAAAATATTCCGCTACACCCAGACACGTATCTATTTCTCCTCCCACCCTCAGGAATGCAAAAACACGAAAAAACACTTCTAATCCACCTCATCACAGCAGCGCACCAACTTATCCCGGCCCTATGGAAACAGTCTCAAACTCCCACCACACGGGAATGGATACAAAAGGTTGAAACCACTAGAAACCTGGAAGAGACGTGCTACTCCCTCACACATCAATACCACATATACACATCTATATGGGACCCATGGGTACGCTACCTACGAAACAAAAATGTATAACTTACACTTGGCCAAAAACAACCAGTTGTAACCGAACTATGATTATTACATACTTTACCAAACTACTGTTAAACAACATATACATGGTGAATTGTTCATACCTGACCGAAAAAGGTCTACATGTAATTAATGGTAGAAAACTGCCACCGTTATTACTAATTAATATGTGTACAAAATGTTTATTTGTCACGCATCTCTTCCTGCTGTAATCTGTGTTAATCACAATAAAGGAAAAAAAAAAAGAAATACGGCTGGAGCATTACATAAGCCGAAGTGCATGACAAGATACTCATAGTGACCACTTCTTGTGGTAAATGAAGTTCTCCATTCATGTCCCTCCTTAATCCTTGCCAAATTATACGCACTCCTAAAATCGAGTTTGGTAAACACCTTAGCGCCCTGGAGTCTGTCAAACAATTCTGAGATAAGGGAAAAGTCAGGACCTGTTCTGTTCTGATGTCTGACCTTGGCTTCTGGTATCCAGTACTCTTTTTAGAATTCTTGTTTAGTTTTTCTTGGTTTTTCTATTCTATGTCTGGTTTTCTGGGTCCATTCCTTTATTCCCTTCCTGGAATTCCCAGTCTTTTGGATTCCTTTAAATGTTTGTTTTATGTTGCCACACCCGTTCCTTTGCCATTAATCCTTTTGTTTCAGTCGGTTCCTGCGGGCAGTGGTTTCATGTCCTCTGCTCCTTTCTTTGCAGGTAAGTGTTGTGTGTGTTTTATTATTGTTTATTTAGTCTTGCATATCTAGGCAGTTAGGACCCACCGTAATTGGAGTACTTTGGCGCAGTGCTGGGCTGCATATATCTTGGCCATTTATGTATGTCTAAATCTCCAATGTTTTACATATATAGTACTTAGTTATGCCTTGCATTTCTTGTCTTGTTTTATTTTGTCTTCCCAGTTCATGTACAGTCTTGTCCTGTCCTGCCCATGTTCTGTTAATGTTTCCCTTATGTGTTGTGTACATGTTCTGGGTTCTGCTTTCTGTCTTTCTCCGGTTCTGGGTTCTTCTAGTTTTGTCTTGTTTGGTGCCTATTCTAGTCTTACTTTGTTTCTAGTACTGGATACATCTCAGCTTATCATCTAGCTCCTGGCATCAGCTTAAGCTGCATCAGGGTTATGGATACAAAAAAGAACCCCGCACTTGCATGTGAAGAAGACTTACGTATGTGACCTTTTTGTAGAGACTCTTTAATGTACTTCTCCATAATTCTACATTCCTGTGTTGATAAGGTATATACTCTCTTAGCAGGTATAGTGCCAGGTAACATATCTATGAAGCAATCATATGATCTGTGAGGGGGTAGTGTTTCAGTGTGACTTTTATTAAACACTTCTTTAACCTCCCTATAATGCATAGGAATTTTGGTAAACTGAGGCATAGGAGTAGGTAGATTAACGATACCCACTCTCTTGGTAACATACATTTCTCTCAACATTCTTTACCCCATTCCAGTATTTCCCCTTTAGCCCAGTCAATATGAGGATTATGCTTAGCAAGCCATGGGAATCCAAGTATAATGGGAAGAGAAGGGGAAGCAATTATCTGAAATGTAATGATTTAATTGTGTAACACTCCTATCGTGACAGTGATAGGCAGTGTTTCGTGGGTAATAAGAGGCTGGGAGAGAGGACTGCCATCAATGGCCTCGACGATCTATTCTTGGTGGGTATAAGGTCTTTACTGGCACATTGCATATCAATAAAGTTTTCTACAGCCCCTGAGTCAATCAGGGCGTTACACGTAAAACTTATCTTATTACATTGAGCAGCAACACTAAGGAGAAATCGACTTTGGGTAGTACCAGGGGACATTTACATCACACCTAAGGATGGTCCCCTGATGGTTCTTAGGTACGCAAGTTTTACGGGCGTATGGGACAACCATTTCTTATATGTTCTTTCTTGCCACAGTATAAGCAAAGGCCTTCTTTTCTCCTAAACGGTTTCTCTGCTTCTGACTGTCTCATAACTCCTAACTGCATAGGTTCTGGTTGAGACTGCACAGAAGGACCAGGGACAACAGGATTAGAGAAGCGAGGTGCCAGTGACATATTCATATGTCTGGTACTGTTTCTAGTTATCTCCCTGTTTCTAAGTCGGTTATCGATATGCATCACATAAGCGATGTATTAATTTAGCCTCCCTGGTAGTTCTTTGACTGCAATTTCATCAAGGATAGCATCAGATAATACCTCTGCAAATGCAGTGATTAATCCATTATTAGTCCAGTCTACCTCAGAGTGCGGAATTCTGAGAAAGAATGGTTCCCTTGTTTGATACGCATTAGGGTAGTGGCAGCGTCATCCTCCCTGCCTAATGGTTCAAATGTTAATTTAAATTCCGCAAGGAATTCATGGTAATTATAGGCAATACTCCTATTTCTCTCATTTAATGGATTGGCCCAAGCTAAGGCTTTACCTTTCAGTTGGTTCTTTAAGTACCCAATTTTAGCTCTACGGTTATTCTACTGCGCATGTCTCGCACGTCTTCTCGAAACTATGTAGGGTTATCTTGTGAGAGAAAAAAGGGAGTATGTGCGCTTGCAAGATAGCACACGGGGATAGAATTCTTGCTTTTAACCCTTGCAGACGTGGAAAGACTTAACAAAGACAAAAAGGCTTTTAACCCGTTATTTACCTTTATCTATGACAATTACTCTTTTCAGGCCCCCCTCAGGTGAAAGTTAGGCAAGGTATCTCCAGATGTACCAGTTACACCTTTGGGCCTTTTAACAATTCTAAACATCGATCTCCTTGACATTTCTCACCAAAGGAGCCATCAAGTGATGCTTGTCCATATATCTGTAGCTACCGATAATATATGTTATTAAATCCACGTCTCAGTATGCAATACATTCATAGGTTACTGTATATATTTATTTATAGCTCAGTATGTCTAGGGGAATATTCACTAAGCATTGCATAGGTAAAATAATTAATTCTCCATCAAGAAGCTACTGGTGAAATGTAAAGGGAATGAGGAGGTAATTGAGTATGACCTCAAGCAGCTTCAGGAGCATGCTTTAAATTTAGTAGAACCTGGGTGGGTGGGAAGTGCTTAGAGAAAATGAAGACAGCCAGCATGCTGGCAATTATGCCATTGTGTTATTGTCACTGAGCCGTTTTGCCCTGCTAGGGAAAGCGTCCCCAAGCATGGCAAATCATAGAAGAGTGCTAGTGAAGTAAATGGTGGACTTGAGGTAGAAGTTAGAGAAACGTAGCACCCATGAAGCTGAAGACATGGCTGCGCTGGATTTTCGGCAGGTAAAGTTAGTAAATCTCGGGATTTTACATTGAATGCATCATGTATCTCTGATATATGATGTGTTGGATGTATTTGGGGACAATTTAAAGGTTCACTTTAAACTTCTGCCCATGTAAAAAGAAGTCTGTTTAAAAACAATATTTAGTATTTTTAAACAGTACTCTGATCAGCTTTTAGGTTTACTACTGTTGTGGATGATATTTCTAAGGTTTTTACAAAACATTTGTAGGCTGTGAGGACATGTAAATGTGTCACTTATTGCTGTATCACCTTTATAAAATGTTAAAGGACACATGTTGGGAGGGGGTATATACTCAGAGAGATGGTTCTCATCCTATCACCAGCATGCCGTTGCCGGTAATCAGTGGAAATATCCAGAAATACCCATGTTTCATCACACTGAACAGTGTACATGCAGTCATTCAGCAGTGCTAGCTCGCAGTCAGCGTGAGTTCCTCTCTCCGTCTCGCGTGTTTTCATTAAAAGACCAATAGAACGTGGTGGAACTCGGCAGCCAATAGCGTGCAAGGAAACGATGCGGCGCGCCGTTCTGAATTCGAGCGTCTAGCCGTCCAATCCGAGAGCCGGAAAGGGTCCTGGGCGGGGTTATGCAAATCCAGTTTGAAAAGACGGCGGGAAATCTGAGTTTCGCGGGAGGACCTTCGCGCGTAAACCGCATCCCTTCATTCATTGTCAGCTTCCTGGAGCCATTTTTCTGCCGCGGCGGGGAGGTCGAAGCCGGGGCCCAACTACTCTTAGCCGCACAATCCGCCTCCATCTGCCTCCCCCGGCCCTCGATACCCCCCCGGGGACCCGCTCCATGCAAGCCGGGGGTCTGCTCTAGCTCCATCCCCCACTATTTCCCCTCCGGGAGGCCGGGGCCGTGCGGATTACAGGGCTCGGCGGGAGGCTCGGAGCGGCCCGGGGCAGGAGCGGCACGGCGGGCGGGCAGGCGGCAGGGGCAGCACCGCGAGCAGCAGACATGAGGAAGGCGATCCCGGCCGGGCACGACACGCTGCTGCTGTCCGGGCTGGCGGGGTCGGAGCGGGGCTCCGGGCTCCCGGGGGGGCTGGTGGCCGGGGGGGGCGGCGGGTACCTGCAGATCCTCTCCTCCCCCGGCTCCCTGCACCACCACTCCCAGCCAGCACTGTGCGCCGCCGAGCCCCAGCACCCGGCCGCCAGCTACATCTACTCCACCCCGCATGGACCCGCCGGGAGAGCCGGCCTGCTGCAGCCCAGCCTGGGGCGCCCTCCGGTAATAGCACGCTGCTACCTCCACCCCCCACCACAACTCCCATCACTACTCCCACTAACCCAGCCCTCACTGCACCCCCCCACCATGGGCATCCCCGGTACAGACTGGGCCAGGGCTCCATGCAGAGTCAGTAACAGGCAGCAGCCTGCATGTGTCATGTCTGACATGGGCACTGTATGACTGTGTGCATTAATACCCTATACCCACTGCACCCATTAGCTGGGCTACAACTACAACCCACACTCAGCTCAGCCAGCCTGAACAGCTCTAGTTTTGCCCTCCATTACCCTCATCTGAATGGTGGGACTGCTACCAGCTAGTGGACTAGCTTTCCCATGATGCTTAGCTCTCACATTGGTTGGCTGAGTGTCATTGGAAGTATGGTCCTGAGCAGCTGGAAGGCCACAAATGATGAAATCTCATGGTTTTGATAAAGCAATCGTGTTATGTATCAGTACATTTATTTTATTTCATCATGGAATGTTTGCATTATGATCCATTAGGGTGGGAGTCTTCTGAAAGCAGGTGCCTTTATGGTTTTTGGGAATATTCCTTAGTAAAAGGGGTGCTGTTGGCTATCAGATTGTTTGTGATATATATCTTAATATATTTTAATTTTTTTTAGTGCTCTATGTCCCGGATAGTAAAGGGGTGAAAGGTCACCTGAGTTTTTGCATCTGTCACAATGGGGGAAGGGGTTGGGTGTATATAGCAGTGCCAGTGTAAGTAACCAGTTGCTCTCCCTTGGGTTGGGAGGGGCTGATCCAGTTTTCAAGCAATTAGGTCTACACCCCAGTGTTCAATTGTAATACATATTGTGTAGGGGGTTTACAATGCTAATCCCTTTTCATTGCTATTCCGTTGTTAACTCTTTAGCATTTGCAGGAGTACACTGCTCCCAAGCATGATGGTATTGTAGTCTCTTCAGTTAAACTGAGTAGCAGTCTTGTCTCTCCTCCATGTTTCACAATGTGTGGGACTCCTGGTCTCTGAGGTCTCCCTTCCCCCATCCAGTTGCCTTGTGGCAGGCTAGATTTCCAGTGCTGAGGCCTACTCATGAAAATGGGGTAAATAAATGCTCTTGGATGTGGATTTCTTGCCAAGATGTGCTGTTGTGGAAAAAATTAGGATGGTGTAATCACATCATTGTATCACAGGCCTAAAATTGCATTGCTTCTGACCTGGACCGTGGTGTTGTTTTTTTTTTGCATGTTATTTGGTACACAATGTTACTCAAAATGTAAGTGTAGTACTGTATTACATTCCCTTCTGTGCAACTCAACCTTTGAAACATAGGTCCATGGTTAACTTGGGTGGTCTTCAACAAAAGACCATCAAATACTGCCATTAAAATGGCACTGTTAATTACAACTATTACCTACTATAAACATCGTAAATTCAAATTTTTTTTTTTTTATAACTGATGCTTCCAACATATATCGACTATGTGCACAGCGTGTTGTGCTTCATCTTGTACTAATTAGTGGACTGACTCATAGGTGGTTTTTTTTGTTTTTTTTTATATATGGCCTTTTTTGTTGAATTCTGATCTTAATCTGTTTGGCCAACTATTTTTTACTTTTCAGTTTCCTGTGAATAATTATAAAACTTTGTGGAAAAAGAAACACTTTTCCATAAGAGAAGATCTCATTAAAGGACCACTATAGGCACCCAGACTACTTCAGATTAAAGGGACACGTAGGCACTGTATCTGCTTCATCTCATTAAACTGGTTATAGTGTCTGGAGCCCTCTGGTCCCATCATTTATATCCGCATTAAACAGTTCTCAAAGTTTTAATGCTAAACAAGAGTCCCCGGCAATCCATCCCCTCTGTGCTGCTTTGGCTAATAAGGAAGTATTAGCCTGAGCAGCAATAGGCAGCTGTGATTGGCTGAGAGTGTCAGCAGACTGCTTTTAGCCTCTCAGAGTTCCAACTGACGGTATGAATGGGCATGACAACAAGGAAGTGTGTAATCTCTGCCTTAGCCACACATACTGAAGGGGCCGGACTGTGGGTGGCCAGGGACTCTTATTTTGTGGCATACTGCACGAACATGGTTCAACACTGAATGGAGGGACAATGGCAGGGCACTTCAGGCACTATAACCAATTCACAGAGATGAAATGCTTATAGTGACTACAGTGTTCCTTTAATGAAGTAGTCTGGGTGCCTGGTCCAGCTAGGGTTAACTTTAAAAAAAAAAAAAAAAAAATCTCTATATCTCTATATCACACCCCAGTTTCAGAGAAACTGCTATGTTTACACTGAGGGTTAATCCAGCCTCTAGTGGCTCTCATTGTTTATAAATAGGTTAATCCAGCGTCTAGTGGCTGTCTCTTGACAGCCGCTAGAGGCGCTTGCGTGCTTCTCACTGTTAACTTCAGTGAGAAGGCGCAAGCGTCTATAGGAAAGCATGAATGTTTTCTTATGAGACTTGCTGAATGCGCGTGCAGCTCTTGCCGCGCATTCAGCCAAAGAGGAGGTTCGTTTAACCCCTTCCTCTCCCCAGAGCCTGGCGGGAGGGGGACCCTGAGGGTAGGGGCACCCTCAGGGCACTATAGTGCCAGGAAAAAGTGTTTTCCTGGCACTATAGTGGTCCTTTAAGCAAAAGTATCGGACAAGCTATCAGAGTAGGAAGAGGCTTCACCAGCCAAGAGCCTCTCTAAGTTCTGCTCTATGGTGAACTTTTGCCCCAACATATGTATTGGGTATTTATGGGCTTTATGAAAGATCAAACTACTACTGTGAATTCAGTGATCCCTGGTTAGACCTCTAGCTGCAGATATATTAAAAAAAAAAAAAAATAAAATAAATTCTCACTCGAAATAGTTGTCGAACTATCCAAATTTATCCAACCTTTGACAGCTGTTATAGGCTGATCTCTTTAGGTTATGGGCATTAATCTGCTGACTTCTATTTAATAAGAAAACTAAGCAGCAAATCACTACATCTAAATTAAGCAGTTTTGATGCAAAGATCCTGCCTTTACCTTTCTGAGAAACTGCTATATTTCTATTTAGACTTTTTTTTTTTTTTTTTTATCCTCAGTCTTTAAAAAGGTCTGTTTAATGTCATCATACAAAATATAATGAATCTGATTTGATTGTCTGAGTGGTGTGACCCTTCAGTGCCATACATGGCAATAGCTTTTTTTTTGTTGTGGGCGATTTGGATCAGAGAAAGAGTAGGGTCTCATCAGTGGTGGATTAGGCTGAAAAGTGTAATTTCCAACTCCTGCATTACAGGTAAATCAAATGCATATGCATCACTTTGAGAGTCTCATACAAAAGCATTTGCTGGAGGGCCGGGAACAAGCAGGTTATTTTTGAAAATATATTTACATGCCTTTTCTTTCTTATGCTTTCCACACAAACTCCAGGGGCAACATGAACTTGCAAATTGGTGTCCTATCCCTAGGAATGCTGAAAAAGTCTATTTGCATGCCTGACAGATTTACAAATGTGCAGTTGTACAACCTCTTCAACTTGCCACATCTCATGGAGAGAAGAGAATTCAGTGTGATTATGCAGAGCAGGTTCTGGTTTCAGATTTCTCTTGCCTACTGCTGCACAATGCCATGGTTCTGTCACTAGTAGCGTGATCTAAAACTAAGGGGGGGGGGGGGGGCAATAATGCAATTTGACAAAGTTTATTATGGTCAATTTATATATTTTCAAAAAATGTCTTGCTTTGAGTTTTCTACAATAAGCATGCTTGACTTGAATACGATAGTCAAAGACCGATATTCCTGACCCTACAGTGTTAAAATTGCTTTCTTGTCCTTTCTCTCCCGCCACTCCCCCTCCCTCCTTTTGCAGGCCATTAACTCCTAAAGGACTTGAAGGAATACGATAGTCAAAGACTGATATTTCTGACCCTATAGTGTTAAAATTGCTTTATTGTCTCTTCTCTAAGCGTTTCTGTATGTTGCTGGCAGAGGTGTAGCTCCACCTTCGGACTCCACTAGCCAGCCCAGAACGAAAGATCCAGTCTGGCTCGTGTGAATTCTGTGCATAATGTTCACAGAAGTTCATTCATTGGCTAAAATCGCCCCACTGACTGTCAGCCAATGCATGCCCAATAGGATCTGAATCTACAGATGTCTGATGTTCGTTTCCTAGTTTTAGCAGAGGTTTTGCGTCTGATGGATTTTGTAAGAGGGTGAACCATTGCAGAATACTATTCCCTAATAATAGGGTAAATAGCTGATGTACTTCTGGCATCATAACCATTAAAGCTGACTGAAGTGGTTATGCTGCTCGTGGTAACCATTTAAATTGTAAGCTGCAGACCGTGACAAGGGAGCTTCTTATGCCATAATCCAAGGCTATTATGGTTGCCACAATCACTCTTACCTTGGCCATATTGCTGAATGACCGCCACACCATTTACTATTATTACAGACTTGTGTGGACTGTTAACAATTTCAACTTGCTGACTGTATTTAGAGAATGTTTGTTTATTTTACATATATTGTTGGAAGCCTTGCCCTTGGACATTTTTTTTTGTTTTTAATACCCTGTAACGCTGCCTTTTGTTGGCGCCCTGCCAATTTCAAAGCAGTTAGTGCTTATGCTGCATTTACATTTTTGTATCTTGCATGAGATGAGTATTAGCAGGAGCCAGGTATCATTATGCATATTTTAGTTTTTCAGTTTTTAGAGGACACCTATTTTGCTGATAGCCAGCATGTTTTGAATATTTGAGCATCATCACTTTTAATACTTCAACCTTTTCTATGTTCTTTAATTGTTTGGTTTTTGCCCTATTGTCAAGTGACACTGAAATAGTATGCTTTTTGTTCTAGTGCTATAAAGATGCATGGAACTGTTTTCCCTAATTTATAGAACGGCCTGTATGTCGCACCACGTTTTGCATCTTTTTCTTGAGCAGTTGGGGGAAACTTGTGAAAACAATAACTTAATCCCTTGGGATTATATTAAAAATGAAGAAAAATTGCAAATAGTTTCAATTTAAAGGGAAAGCATTGGATTGGCTAAAATTGGCACTGGGGTGGGGCCAAATGCTGTTTTGGCCCATCAGGACCTCCTCATAGAGGAGTTGTACCACTTACTGGTCTGATTAAAGTATTTACATAACTTCTTTTTCTAGTGTGCTCTTTTTGATATATTCAGTATTTGTTGGGTACTTGAGGGAGTACCTGTGAGTAAATAGCACCTAATGGTATTTTGTTTATATGTTCTCTCCATATGGAGTTATTGTTACTGGGTTATATAACTGACATACAATTGAGCTCATAATACTCTACCTTTATTTTTGGATGGATTCAGAACAAATTCTAATTCTTTGTCATCTTAGATACTCACAAATTACATGTGGTTTTTTTTATCTTTTTGTAAAAAAAAAATTTTTTTTTTTTTTTTTATCTCCTATCCAAAACCTTCTCCAGGCAAAGAGGCGGCTGGAACTTGGAGATGGAAGTCACCCATATCTCTCTGAAGGCTTAAAGACACCCAAAGGGAAAGGAAGAGCAAGTGGACTGTGTCCAGACAGTCCAAAAAGTAAGTATTTTAAGGGAAATGGGTGTACATTAAATTATCAGGCTAGTATTTTATGGCTCAAACCTAGACCCCCATTTTTATTTTTTTTTATGGCAATGTTAGAACATTTTTGTTATGTACACATGGATCCACACGTGCAAGTTCCTGGGTGAACAGGGAAGCTGTGTTGCAACCAAGCAGATATTTAAAGACACTTGTGTCACCAGAACCACTACAGCTTAAAGGGACACTAATCACCTGAACAACTACAGCTTAATGTAGTTGTTCAGGTGAGATCTATAGCTCCCTGAAGGCAATCTAATGTAAACACTGTATTTTCAGTAAATACAAAAGAGGGGGTTAAGGGCTGCACTAATAGTAAATAATAAACAAAACAACAAATAATAAAACCAGATATAATCAATAGACAAAGTTCGTCCAGAAATAAATTGAAACAGTCTCCCTGATATGTGATAAGATAATAGTCCTCAGGTGTTGATCCGTCCGTATGGTGGCAGTCCATATATGTGGAAATAAAAAACAAAGAAAGCTTCCAATGGTGAAATATTGTACGTCCAAATGTGATGTATAAATCAAGAGAAAGGTATTTTACTCACATTTGTTGGCGCTTGAACCAGCTCTAGGAGAAGAGGCATTTAGTGGTTTGATCCCCACTATCGGATACACTTGAGTGGTGGGTCCGTCTGTCCGGCTTAGGATTTCCTTGGTGTAGGCTGGGACCTACTCAGATGTACGTAGTTCTTTGGTGCTGGGGAGATAGGTCCGCCTCTCCAATTTTGGATAATGGGTATCTTCGAAATATATAAAACAGCAGATAGTGCTCTCAGTTTGAACAATAAAACAATTTTATAAAAAGTTATACTTACAAGAATAGAGCAGGCAGATACTGCTCTATTACCACAGCGCTGGTGGAGTTATCCCCACCTAAAGGATTTCTTTGGACGGGATACACTTGAGGATTAAAATTAAAAAATTATATTTTGTATAAAATAAAAGGATAAAAAATAAAATAAATTTTTTAAAAAAAATAATAGGATATGAGAGTGCCAGGAGTAGTTAGTGTATAAAATGCAATAAAAATAAGTATATAAAATTGGTCCTAGTATAAAAGGTAACCAAAAATAACTTATTGATTTTAAAATACAATTATTAAAACTATTTGCGCGTTTCACCTATGAGGTTTTTTCAAAATGGTAAAAGAACAATACACCTGGCAGAAAACCGAATTTATAAGTACATACAGAGATTGAATTTGGCGCCAAATTTTAGTGCACCAATCATATTCAAGAATTAAAACCGAACAAAAAATACAATTAAAAATGAGTTAAAAACCATGTGGGTACAATGGTCTAAGCCTAATTAGGCGTAGGTAGTACTAATTTTATTAAAACGAAGCTTTTGAAGAGATTTAATTCAAGTTGTTCCCGATCACGTGATCGGGACGTGCTGCGCATCCGCGGACCGTCTAAATAGGCGGATCACTTAGTAATGTAAACAGAGGGCTCAGTGGCCGGCATGGGAGTGCAATGCTCCATGGGAAATGGAGTCCTGCTGGTCACTGAGCTCCCAATGATTAAAAACCACAGAGTGAAAACATTTTAAGAGAAAACAAAGAGGATTTAGTTTAAAATCACAGTAAAAGGACATGGAAGGTTCCACTGATTTAACATAAGGGTGTTAAATGAACATATAAGCTGCATATTGCAATAAGAATAATAATAAAGATATAAATGAAAATATATGCTTATATTTTCATTTATATCTTTATTATTATTCTTATTGCAATATGCAGCTTATATGTTCATTTAACACCCTTATGTTAAGTCAGTGGAACCTTCCATGTCCTTTTACTGTGATTTTAAACTAAATCCTCTTTGTTTTCTCTTAAAATGTTTTCACTCTGTGGTTTTTAATCATTGGGAGCTCAGTGACCGGCAGGACTCCATTTCCCATGGAGCATTGCGCTCCCATGCCGGCCACTGAGCCCTCTGTTTACATTACTAAGTGATCCGCCTATTTAGACGGTCCGCGCATGCGCAGCACGTCCCGATCACGTGATCGGGAACAACTTGAATTAAATCTCTTCAAAAGCTTTGTTTTAATAAAATTAGTACTACCTACGCCTAATTAGGCTTAGTCCATTGTACCCACGTGGTTTTTAACTCATTTTTAATTGTATTTTTTGTTCGGTTTTAATTCTTGAATATGATTGGTGCACTAAAATTTGGCGCCAAATTCAATCTCTGTATGTACTTATAAACTCTGTTTTCTGCCAGGTGTATTGTTCTTTTACCATTTTGAAAAAACCTCATAGGTGAAACGTGTAAATAGTTTTAATAATTGTATTTTAAATCAATAAGTTATTTTTGGTTACCTTTTATACTAGGACCAATTTTATACTTATTTTTATTGCATTTTATACACTTTAACTACTCCTGGCACTCTCATATATCCTATTTTTAAAGTTTAGTTTATTTTATTTTGTATCCTTTTTTATACAAAATATAATTTTTTAAATTTTAATCCTCAAGTGTATCCCGTCCAAAGAAATCCTTAGGTGGGGATAATTCCACCAGCGCTGTGGTAATAGAGCAGTATCTGCCTGCTCTATTCTTGTAAGTATAACTTATTTTATAAAACTGTTTTATTGTTCAAACTGAGAGCACTATCTGCTGTTTTTATATATTTCGTGGATACCCATTATCCAAAATTGGAGAGGCGGACCTATCTCCCCAGCACCAAAGAACTACGTACATCTGAGTAGGTCCCAGCCTACACCAAGGAAATCTTAAGCCGGACAGACGGACCCACCACTCAAGTGTATCCGACAGTGGGGATCAAACCACTAAGTGCCTCTTCTCCTAGAGCTGGTTCAAGCTCCAACAAATGTGAGTGAAAAACCTTTCTCTTGATTTATACATCACATTTGGACGTACAATATTTCACCATTGGAAGCTCTCTTTTCTTTTCTTTTTTTTATTTTTTTTATTTCCACATATATGGACTATCTGCCACCATACGGACGGATCAACACCTGAGGACTATTATCTTATCACATATCAGTGAGACTGTTTCAATTTGTTTCTGGATGAACTTTGTCTATTGATTATATCTGGTTTTATTTGTTGTCTTTATTTACTATCTATTAGCGCAGCCCTTAACCCCCTCTTTTGTATTTCCTGTCTCTTAAAGGGTTTCTTGAGGGATTCCCTTTTAGGGTTGCTGCTTTTTTGGTTTAGCGCAGACACTTCCCCCCTCTCTGTTTTACTGTATTTTCAGTGTTTACATTGATGGGAATACCTCCAGTGGCCATCACTCAGACGGCTATCAGAGGGAGTTCCTATCATGTAGGGCCTTAAAAAGGCTGACGTGTGCAGGAGAGAGAAGGCACTGTGTGTGTGCGCCTTCTCTCTCCTGCCTCTCAGCAGAGGAGAGGGGGCGGGCAAAGATCGCGAGCTGAGCTGTCAGCTCGCGCATGTGCGGTAGTGCACTCAGGACTTCAGAGGGAGGCACAAATGCCGCCCTATGAAGTATGTGTGGCAAAACCGCGCATGCGCACAAGGGAGCAATGACTCTTCCAAATGAAAGCGTCTGATTGCTCCCTGCTTGCGCCCATTTCGTCACTTTGACGAAATAGGGGGCACGGCTTCACAAGGCTTTTGGCGCTGGAACCAGGTGAGTAAAAAAGCTGCCTGGAGAGTCCCTTTAATGTAGTGGTTCTGGTGTCTATAACATGTCCCTGCAGGCTTTTCAATATAAATGCTTTTTTTAAAGAAAAGGCGTGTTAACATTGTTGCATAGTATCACCACTAGTGGAAGTCACTCAGCCATTAGACATGCTTCCTATTTCGGTGCAGCACTTATGGAGACACTGAATCCTTTTCTTTGGGAAAACATTGGATGGGTTTAGATCACCTAGATTGATTTCAGCCATGGAGGCGGAGCCAGCTGCAGCATGTCACTGATATTACTGGGGAAAAGGTAAATAAAGCTCACTTTCATACCTAAACATTGAACAGGTAACTATAGTGTTAGAAATACAAATGAATGCGGGTAACTTCATTTTGGTATGACACGAAAGTTGCTAGCTATGTTAACTAGTGTTTTGGATTTTAGTTTTTCTGTATAAACGGCATAAACTGATTTTAAACTCTTAACACTCCTGTTTAATGGCTTGGACTTCTTTGGCAGCAACTGTATGTTCCAAAGCAGGTTTATGCCTGTTGCAAATTACCTGGATCATGCAGTTAATATTTCGTTACTGTTGGCATGGAGAAACTGTGCATCTTTCCATGATGTCTGCAGTTTGCCCTTCTGTGGGATATATTTTACTAGTGCATTGTGGGTAGATATTAAAGGACAACTGTAATCATTCTTTTTATTTTTTATATTTAGCTTAATGGAATTTGTATTAGATCGCGTATTGAATTGTTTTGAGAACACTTCACTCTTTATATGACTGGGCTGACATGTTGTGTCAGACTAGTTGTCAGGTATGTGCAATTTCTATCTCAAGGGACATAAATTCCAGTCTGAGCAGTTTTAATATTTAGTCCTGCTCTGGGCTATAAAGACTTTGACCGAGTGACTGAATTCCTTGGAGGTCTTACTTTATAGCGGAGACCAAGCTGCCGTCCTTCACTCTGGCTACACTTTGTGGTGGAGGCTTTGTGAAGAAGGATGGACATGCAGCATATCTGCTCCCTGAGTGGCTGGTCCGATAAGAGCAATATGGAGCACACCCACTATTTGTGGCCTATAATGCCCTTATGATTCTGTTTAGAAGTTTTTGGGTTTTTTTTGGAGGCGGTAAAATCTCTATATAGAGGAAATTTTACAACCTTTGGTCCCCGTTTTGAAAGTGTTCTTTCATGATTCACTAAAGTAAGAATAGCTAGAAACCAAAGTGAATTTCAGCTTTAAAGTGGATAGAATCTTTATGAAATACTCGTATTGGCTCTGTTGGGGTTTCACTGGAATTCCAACACAGTCCAGAGAGATACTGAGACAAAATAGACTCTCTAGACACTGGGCGTAGTTACCACTGTCTAGCAGTGTCAATCCCCAGCTGTTACCAGTCTTGCGGGTTCTTCCATAGTCCTCAATACTGTAGTTTCACACATGCACAAAAACACAGCAGTCACATCTGCTCCTGGCGCTGATATGCAGTGTCCCAAAATGGTGACCATGTCACTTTAAGGCCAAAATAGGCATAGTGAAAACAGAATTGGTTTTTATTTTATTTTTTCTACATTTTCGATTTTACAATTAATTCCTGGCAATTCTAACTTTACGGAATAATCCTGCTAGGTCTGTTATTCTCAATAATGCAAATGATTCCCTTTTTTTTAGTCCAAATAAGTGCAACTTGGGATAGCAATGAATAGGCTGTGAGTGCCTCCTTGTCAGTCTCAACCAATCCTATGGGGAAGCACTGTGATTGGATCATCACTTCTGATGTTAGCAGACAGCGTGCTTTTCATAGGAAAACTGCATGCAGAGCTTCAGGCTTGAATACAAGTAAGATTTATATATTTAGGGAGGCTAGATGGTGGTTTTAACACTATAGGGATAGGCATACATGTTTGTGTTCCTGACCCTATAGTGTTCCTTTAATGTATGCAAGTAAGCAGAAGAATTCACTTCTATTTACACTTTAAAAAAAAAAAATACACCTCTTTCATATTAAATACTCCGACACTTATTATATATCATTTTATTCAGGGGAAACAGGGCTTTCATTTAATATCAAATATTTAGCTATGAAACATAATTTAATATGAAAAAAAATGGGAGAAAATAAGATTTTTTTTATTTTTATTTTTTTTAGTTCTACATGACATTTTAACGGTCAATGTCACAATACTGTTTGCTTTTACTGCAATAAAATACACATTTGTATTCAGCAAAGTATCACGTGTAAAACAGTACCCCCTATGTAGGTTTTATGGCGTTTTGGGAAGTTACAGGGTCAAATATAGCACATTACATTTGAAATTGAAATTCACCAGATTGGTTACGTTGCCTTTGGGACTTTATAGTAGCCCAGGAATGAAATTTACACCCATAATGGCATACCATTTGCAATAGTAGACAACCCAAGGTATTGCAAATGGGGTATGTCCAGTCTTTTTTTAGTAGCCATTTGGTCACAAACACTGGCCAAAGTTAGCGTTCGTATTTGTTTGTGTTTGAAAAATGCAAAAAATGGCAATTTTGGCCAGTGTTTGTGACTAAGTGGCTACTAAAAAAGACTGGACATACCGCGTTTGCAATGCTTTGGGTTGTCTACTATTGCAAATGGTATGCCATCATAGGGGTAATTTTCATTCTTGATATAGACAGTGGAACCAGCGCTTATATATAAAAGTGAATATTAAATACAAATATAACTTATAATATTAAATAGCTGCTAAACATTCATAGATTCCTATTAACTTAAACACACAAAACAAATTAGGAATGTAGCGCTTATAAATAAAATAATAAATTAATCACCTTTGCAATTTTGGGGTAAAATGTCACTGGAAATCAGCAAGGAAAATTGTAAGCGAAGAGCTATCGACTTAGCTCTAGTTTTAATAGCTTCTGGGTCTATACAGGTGACCCCAAACCCTTCTCACAGTATGTTCCTGAGGTAAGTGTAGAGTCAAAATAATTGACTCAATTTCTTAGCGTTGTGCAAATTCGGGACTGCACTCCCCATACAATGAAACGATATCCGGTTTGAAGAAGCCACGTCGGTAGTGGCGAAACGCGTCCCGGTATTTTTAAGCACATTGTGGCTATTTTATGAGTGTATTAAATAAATAATTGCTTTTATTTTCGAATGATCCTGGTTCCCGATATCGTTTCATTGTATGGGGAGTGCAGTCCCGAATTTGCACAACGCTAAGAAATTGAGTCAATTATTTTGACTCTACACTTACCTCAGGAACATACTGTGAGAAGGGTTTGGGGTCACCTGTATAGACCCAGAAGCTATTAAAACTAGAGCTAAGTCGATAGCTCTTCGCTTACAATTTTCCTTGCTGATTTCCAGTGACATTTTACCCCAAAATTGCAAAGGTGATTTATTATTTTATTTATAAGCGCTACATTCCTAATTTGTTTTGTGAATTTTCATTCTTGGGCTACCATAGGGTCTCAAAGGCAACGTACCCCATGCTGAGTGTGAGGCCCTGACACATTGAAATGCGTCTGGGTATTATTGTAGCTGAGGGATGTTCACCAAGGGTGTTTGAATTAAATTGCCTGCTGTATGGGGACATGCCGGATGGGGTGCCAAGCAGGCAGTCTTCCTAGTCTTTTAGCCCTGCTGTAGGTTTGATTGGGAGCGATTGGTGTCGTGGATGGACTAGCTCATCTAGAAATGATCATTAGGCAACTGTAGTATAAGGCCAGCTAGAGACCGCAGTAGTTTGTAAAGTATGGGGAGTTGTGAAAAACAGCAGCTGCTCCTCATAATGTGCAAAGTTGAAGGCTGCCAGGATACAGCATAGCGTCATCCCAACGGCCAATAATCATGCATGAACGAAATAGAAGTGAAAGTGACAGGCTAGAATTGTCCTGCTTTGTTAAAAGTACCCATACTTAATTTGCAGTTAATAAAATATATATTACAAGGAATTTGATAACCACATGACTACAGAAATTCTTCGCTGGGAATAGACTCACTGGCAGAAACTGCAATGTTTACAACCACATAGAAATGGTGTTGGCACCAAAACCACTAAATTAAAGGGTTACTCCAACCCCTTGTTTTGATTGGGTTCCTCTTCTTCTCTAATGCCAAATAGATATCTTCTTTTAGAGGGATTCAGCACGTCTATCTTATAGAGAAGCCTATGTTTAGGCCATCTGACTGGCTTAGAGCACATGTGTGCACTCTGAGCCGGTGTGGGGAGGGAATGGAAGTAGGGAAGGCGAGAGAGGTAAAAATTTGTCACATCGGATAGGTGTCATGGAATATTGTAGTTTGGGAAGGAGAGGAGACATAGGCTTTTATTTTTCTATAAAAATGATCAATTTCAAGGGTACAGGAAGAAAAAGGGGAATCGGGTACAAGTAAAATTGAAATACATAAACGTACGTATGTAAAATTTGTTGGACAGGAAATGTTTATTGTAAAATCTGAACTGCTCTTTGAAGCCAAAAAGTATATTGCTGTAATCGTTGATCTGGGTGATGTAGTCTATATGGCCAGCTCTTCTAATGCTGTCATTGCAGGCCCTACATAAAAACTCCTAATTATCTCCCGCACCTTTTGGTAATGTGTGAATTGTAGACCGTTTAATGGTGCACACTCCCTATTGCTCAAGATAAATGTGCACTTTGCTTCTATGACAGGTTTAATCCAGGAGATTATGTATCTCATGGATATTCCAAATCTCCCCTAATACTACTGCGCGTCTGTCTTGTTTACGCATAGCTAGATATTTTCAAATTTGCGCTAGCATGTCTGTTCTGTTTCATAATCCTTTTGGCTTTAACCTGTATGAAGTAGGGTGAGCATAGGACAGTCTGAAAAATGATTTGGGTCGAATTAGATTGATCTTGCTGTGTAGAGCATATGTAGTCATAATACACCAAACCTACATTTTGAAGAAAATTACAGACTTTATCAAAGACTGGCGGCTTACTTTGCAATTTTTTTTTTTATTTTTTTTTGCTTGACATGTTGTAACACTGCAGCATAAACCTAATTTAACTTTTTAATTGATAAGGTTGTTCAGAACAATGGATATGCAAGTCGGTGATCTTCATTGTAGGAATATTGCGTGCACTTGCGTATATATATTTCTGAACTATTTTTTTATGATTACTTAACTGCTTGTGTCAAAGGTCACAAGGTGTGGTAACTTTTTTTTTTTTTTATTATTTCTTCCACTTTGGAAAGTGTATAATATGCAGAAACGTCAATAGTCTTGTAGAGGGTATGAAGATGTTTTATGGTGTGCTGCATGTTGGTGTGAATTGGTGACTAGTAAAATCTTGCTATTTATATGATGAGTGACTGTGTATGCATGAGCCAGTTTAACATCTTGAGTGTATAACAAACGTGTTACTAAACTCAGGGTTTAACCCTCTGACATGCAACGGGTTACATTTTGTCTAGCAAAATTTCTAGGAAACCTGATAAGCTGCAATTATAATGTTTACATTCAATTATTTGATTTCAAATTTAAGGCCAAATTACCAGGACGACTGGAATTATAGCCAAGCTGCATATTTTCTCCAGTTTTGGCTCGTGGTTTTAAAAACAAAAAAACACTCTGGCACTTTCGCAATGTCATGGTGCAGAAAAGTCCTGTGTGCTTGCTTATTTAAACTGGTTAAACTGTTAATGGGGGCTGGTCCGGTGCTTCTTGCATATAAACAAAGTAACTATTCCCAGACCAGTTCATGAAGTTGTTTATTTCATAGGACTGTTATATCAATTCTTGTGTTTAATTTTGTTATCCTCCTGCCTTTCCTTGATTTAGTACACCACATGCTCCCCTTAAAGGATCACTATAGGCACCCAGACCACTAAGCTGAAGTGGTCTGGATGCCAGGTCCAGCTAGGGTGTGTGTGTGTGTGTTTTTTTTTAATTATTATTATAAATGGGTTAATCCAGCCTCTAGTGGCTCTCTTGACAGCCGCTAGAGGCGCTTGCATGCTTCTCACTGTGAAAATCAGTGAGAAGACGCCAGCGTTCATAGGAAAGCATTGTGAATGCTCTCCTATGGACTGGCTGAATGCGCCCGCAGCTCTTGCCGTGCATGCGCATTCAGCCGGAGAGGAGTAGGAGGAGAGCTCCCCACCTGGCACTGGAGAAAGAGGTCATTTTAACCCCTTCCTCTCCCCAGAGCCCAGCGGGAGTGGGACCCTGACAAGTGTTTTCCTGGCACTATAGTGGTCCTTTAAAGGGATTCTCTAATGCCAGGAAAACAAACTAGTTTTCCTGGCACTAGATTCATGGAGTGCACCTGTCCCTCCTGCCCCCTATCCCACTTACCCGAATCCAACGCCGATGTCCCTCGGCGCTGGTTCAGGCGGCTCCTCCGCCGGTGGGGGAGACCTAATGCGCACGCGCGGTAATGGCCGCGCACTCATTAGACCTCCCCATAGGAAAGCATTATTCAGTGCTTTCCTATGGGGATTCAAGCAACGCTGGAGGTCCTCCTGCATAGCGTGGGGACATCCAGCATCGTTTAGACTACCGGAAGTCCCTCTAGTGGCTGTCTGGTAGACAGCCACTACAGGAGGATTTAACCCAGCAAGGTAATTATTGCAGTTTATAAAAACTGCAATGATTACACTTGCAGGGTTAAGGGTAATGGGATTTGGCACCCAAAGCACTCCAATCGGCTGAAGTGGTCTGAGTGCCTACAGTGTCCCTTACATACGTTTTACTCTGTAGATTGGTGTGTGTTTTATTTTAACTTCAGGAAATATCACTTGTTAAATATTTTGTGTATGTTGGTGCTTAAAAAAATGGCATGTTGACTTATGACTTCTGATATCAAAGTAAACTTGAGAGCCTTTTTATTTTGAGTTTTTTTGGACTCAATTAGAATTTCTAAATGTTCTGTTAACCTGCAGCAATTTTCTAAAAACAATTTATCATGTAAAATGCAGTTTTTTTTGCTACTTAAATGTATGTTTGTGTGTGTATATGCATGCCATGCAATACTCCATGCCCTGTTGTATACTGGAATGGTGTTTTTGACAAAGCTTGTGTACTTGTGTTTTTTTTTTTCCCAGCACCAAAGTCTCCAATAGAAAAGACTCGATATGACACCTCACTTGGTCTACTGACAAAGAAGTTCATTCAGTTGCTCAGTCAGTCGTCTGATGGAGTTGTTGATCTAAACAGAGCAGCTGAAGTTCTCAATGTTCAGAAAAGAAGAATTTATGATATCACTAATGTGTTGGAAGGCATACATCTTATTAAAAAGAAGTCCAAAAACAACATCCAGTGGATGTAAGTGTCTTAAATGACTGGTTTATTTTTTTGGATCAGTGAGATACATTTTAAGCAGTTTTGCAGAGAAAGTTATGCATATATTGCTTTGTTGTAAAAATAATGGGTTACTATGGTGCAATTTTAAGAAGCTCTGTGGAACATGCACTGCCATGCTGATTAGTAAATTATGGATCCCTGCAGACCTCATTGGAACACACAAAGGCACACTATAGGCATTCAGACCACTTCATCTCATTGAAGTGGCCTGGGTGCAGTGTCCTTGTCACTTTAACCCTGTAGCTGCAAACATTGCATGTTTACATTGCGGGTTATGCCTGACTCTAGTGGCTCTTTAGAGATGGAGATTGAGTTGAGGCTGTGATTGGCACAGTCCTGCTTGCTGGATTATCCTGCAAAGAGATAGTGGAAGCAGGGAATGAAGCAGTGCATGGCCCCAGGTAAGTGTAAACTACTAAAAATAAAATGGTTTGACATATTTACACTGGGAGGGTTCCTAGGCACTCCTGGCAAAATAATCATTACAATGGGCTGTAGTGGTTATAATGCTGGAGGTATTCCTCTTAATAATCTGAAGATACTGTTTATTTGTTTTGTGTCATGGTAGAAATGACAGTGTGGTTTGAGTAACTTTAATACCTGGTAAGTTGCTTAGGACCTCGTATGTTGCACCCTATTACGTCAGGGGGCTAGCAACAAAGCTAAAATACAGCTTTAATAGTATCTCCAAGAATCATTCTCCATTGTCACAGCTAGTACTCTTCCTCCTCAGTAATATTACTTGTTTCTTTTTTTAACTCCTTTTAAAGAGACGCTGCAGGCACCCAGACCACTTCAGCTCATTAAAGTGGTCTGGGTGCCAACTCCCATCACCCTTAACCCTGCAAATGTTATTACTGCAATATTTACCTTGCAGAGTTAGGTTCACCTCTAGTGGCTGTCTATTTCCGGCTTCTTAGACTACTTTTGGTCGTCTAAACGACGCTGGATGTCCTCGCCCTATGCATGAGGACTTCCAGCATCGCCGGAATCCCCATATTAAAGCATAGAATAATGCTTCCCTATAGGGAGGTCTAATGTGTGCATGGCCATTGCCGCGCATGCAGATTAGGTCTCCCTGGCCGGCGGGGACAGAATGTGGGCGTAGCCTGCCGCAGCCTCGAGGATCATCTGTGATGGATTCAGGTAAGTGTCTGAAGGGGTTTTAACCCCTTCATGGACGTGGGAGGGGGGCACTCCAGGATTCTCTACTGCCTGGAAAATGGGTTGGTTTTCCTGGCACTGCAGAGGCCTTTTAATTGTGAGGCAATGGAAAAAAAGGTGCATCTAGAACTGAGCCTCTGCTACTTGCAAAACCTCCATGACTGTGCGCTTCCATCCAACATTACATATTGAGAGATGTGTATTGTTCAAGCTCCTTCGCATGTGTGTGCTAGATGGGCTGACATTTAAATTGAGATCTTCATAATGTTTAGGCAATCTTGAATGTGTCTCACAACCCTTTAAACACCACATACACGGATCATGCTACTCAATCACAAGTGTAAATTCTGAGCCCTGTTACTATAGGGCACATCCATCAAGCAGGAAATTTTACATAGTAAAGGTTTGCAGGATTTAATAACATAATGTTATGCATCATTCAATTTTTTTGTACATGCTGCTGGCCAAACGTTTATAAATCCAAACAATCTAAATTGATGGGTGAAAAGATAAAACTTAAAATCAAACATCCACTACTAACACTCCATGTTAAGTGACTTTAATGATAATGCTTTGAGGAGCAGTGAGATAGCATTCAAAGTAATGTGCAGAGAAATATAAACCGAAATTTAACTTCTAGTTTTGCTACAAAGGTGGTAGATTAAGAATGCAATTTAAAGAAGCTCTGTGAAATATGTGCTGTCATCCTGAGTAGCAGAGACTGGATTCCTGCAGGCCTCATTGGATTAATACCCAAGGCATTTACTTAGGGGTATAGCTTTCCAAATTTGCTGCATCGTGTTTAAAGGAATTTCTAGTCTATATGTAGTGTGGAGAGATACTGTATGTTTTAACAAATCTTGACTGCTGGTCATGCTAGATCTCTGCTCCATATTTCTCAAAACATAACTCTAGAAAATGCAGAAAAGGAAAAGCGATCTGTTCATACATGAATAATTTGTATAGTTTGAGTTGTTTCTATTGAAATGTTTAAATATTATTTAATCTTTATTTCAGGGGCTGTAGCTTGCCTGATGATGGTGGAAACATGGCTCGATTTCAAGGACTTTCCAAGGAACTCTTGGATCTTACCCAAGAGGAGAACAAACTTGATGAATTAATACAAAACTGTACCTTAGACCTAAAACATTTGACAGAAGACACTGAGAATCAAAGATATCCTTTGTGTCTTGGCTATATTGTCTGTTTATCTATAAAATATTTTACCAGGAAGGATACATTGAGATTTCTCTCGTTTTCAAGTATGTCCTTGTCATATATGGTGTGCCAATACCGGTTTTCAATCTATCTGGACCTTTCTTGGAAAACCTTTGGATCCAAAGCGTTAATCTCCAGAAATGTTGTGTATCTAATTGGATGATCTACACTGAGTCTTGATACTGTCTTTGCTGGAAAGTCATATTGGGGACAGGAGGAGGGGAGGGTGTTATGCCCACTGACTTATTTTTCTTCTCAGAGTTCATAATGGGTTCCATGGTTTTTCAAATTGACAAACTGAAATTTGCTTTTGTGGATGTGATCAATTCCTGAACTTGCAAAATGGCACAAGAGCACAGCTAGTAATCTTGATTAATCTAATAAGTACGTGTGACTTGGTAGCACTGTTGGAATAGTCTTAGCCTTAACGAGAGCTTTTTGTTGGATTTCCTTAAATATTGTTTGGAGGAGGGGGTTTGTGCAAGTTTTAACTCTGGAAGGTGTGCCATGGGTCCCATTGCCTGAGAGGCCCCTTAGTGCTGTTTGCCTTCAGTATCTATCATAGTGACAGATGGACTGTTGCTATCAATGTTTTTTTTTTTTCTCATCTTCCCTTCTCTCTCCATTGGCATAGTAGGTAAACACTACAAACATGGAGTGAGTCATTTGAAGGCAGTATGTGCTGCTGCCCTGCTGGTTTTCAGTGCTAATATTACAGCAAGTGAACCAGTGGTGGATAACTTTTAGATTTGATGTAGCGTAGGACTTGCTGTTTTGAACCCTGTTTATTACTGCAGCAGTCACAGTGTAGTGGTTATGATACAAAGTTAATGTGCTTCCTCTACACTTTATTTCCACCACTCAAAGACTTCTTCCACTTCATCCATCTTGGTATGCCATAAATGTATTGTCAAGCCTGGATGACCGTGGGAAGCTGGGTTTTTAGGTTTTTTTTTTATTTTTATGTAGATTTTCCAAAGTTTTGACAGTAATAGAGGTTAACAGAAGTTCAGAGGTACATGCATATGTGTAACAGTGAGCAAACTGTTTGCAGTAATATCTTGCATTTCTGCTTTTTAAAGGGAAACTATAGTTTTCCTGGCACTACAGATTTCCCCTCTGTCAAGGCCCCCTCCTGCAGCCCTTCAGTCACATACCTGTGTCCAGCGCTGGTTTAGTTCTGTCCACGCTTCTCCCCCGCTGATGTCAGCCAGCGGTGGAGACCTGATGCGCATGCGCTGCAATGGCCATGCTCTCATTAGAATCTCGCTGCAGCAAAATGACGCGGGAGGTCCTCATGCAGAGCTTGGGGATGTCCAGCGTCAGATAATAGACCAAAAGTCAGTTTCAGTTCCAGAAGTCCCTCTAGTGGATGTCTGGTAGACAGCCACTAAAGGAGGAATTAGCCCTCAGAGGTAATGAATGCGGTTTATGAAAGCTGCAATAATTACCACTGCAGGGTTAAAGGGACACTATAGTCACCAGAACTACAGCTTATTGAATTTGTTCTGGTGAGTAGAATCATTACCTTCAGGCTTTTTGCTGTAAACACTGTCTCTTCAGAGAAAATGCAGTGTTTACATTACCGCCTAGTGATAACTTCACTGGCCACTCCTCAGATGGCTGTTAGAGATCCTTCCTGGGTCATGGCTGCCTAAAAATGCATCCAAACATTCAGTCTCTCCTTTCCTCAGAGATTCATTGATTTAATTCATCTCTATGACGAGATGCAGATTGGCTAGGGCTGTGTTTGAATCATGCTGGCTCTGCCTCCTTGTCAGTCTCCGCCATTCCTATTGGCAAACATTGTGATTGGATTAGGCTACCACTTCTGATGTTAGCAGACTGTTTTTCTGAGACTAACAGCATGCAGAGTTACAGCTTAAAGCTTGAATGCATGGGGGGCTAGTTGGTGCTTTTAACACTATCGGGTCAGGAATAAATGTGTTTTCCTGACCCTATAGTGATCCTTTAAGAGTGATGGGAGTTTGCACCCAGACCACTTCAATGAGCTAAAGTGGTCTGGGTGCCTACAATGTCCCTTTAAGCCAAACCAGAAACTTAGAGTAGACACTGTAACTTTTATTGGGTATTGTGAGCCAAGCAAGTAGCCTGTGTGGTTAATTATCAGTAGCTGTGCATGCCCCAACGTCTAAGTCTGTTCATTGGATATGGAGAGGCATGTGATGGGCATATTCATGCACCAAACCATTCATGAGGTTATAAAAAAAGCGGGGGGGGGGAGGGGGGGAGAGAGAGTGGATGGTATATTTGGTTTGACTTCTCAGTGTTTTGAGGGGAAGCCCAGACCCTCACAACCCCCCAGTAACATCTACCGTCCTGAGTTCCGCATCTCTGTAAGAGACAGACAAATTCTGGCCGAGGAAACCAGGTTGTGTCGGAGGTACCTTTAAAGGCCTAGAAGCATTTTATGAAGCTGTTTGTCAAAATGCCATCAGGTTCCTTACAAATGTATTTTGCTATGTCAACATAGCATGTGCAATTAGACCACAGATATATTCTGGCTTGGTATTGCATTGTGCAAAGCAAACAATGTTCTGTCTCTACATGGATTTGAGATTATTTTTGCAGCTAGAAAATGTAGTCTGGATTAGAAGACCTGAAACTCACTTATACAGCTTTAATACATGCAGGAAGTGAATTTTGAATTGCACTTTTACACCAGCCTTTCTGAAAAACTGTTATATTCTTTGGACTGTACTCATTGTTAAGGACTACATGACTGTCTATGCTCTCATGCAGTGAAGGACTTTTACTGCATGACGGTCTGTGCCTTCATTTAACATTAAAGTATTAGCAGGGGTTAAATGCCTGCTGGTACCAAGTATCAGCTGGGGCTAAACGAACAGATGAGGTTTAAGCTCTGCTCATAGTTATTTAAATATTTCCAATTATTTTTCCCCCTCTTCTCACGCCTGGCACAGTGTCCCCCATGTTGCAGGGTGAACTACAAAGTGCTACAGGATTGGTGCTAGTCTCTGCCAGCTATCCAGCACCCATTTTTGTGCTGCAATCGTAGCACAGCCCTCTGTACTGTTTCAGCTAGGAAATCATTCTGCTGGTTTAAGTACTGACATCAGCAGAGAAAAATCCTTTGAGAGGTGGAGTTAGTACTGGGATTTTAGGAAAGATTAGGGGTAGAATTGGTATAACATGGATATTTAGAGTATCGTACTCTTACAGTAGCAGAATGCAAGTATGGTGTATTTGGCCCTAGGGGTCACCTGTGGCCTGTGAATTTCCCCAAAATACAAAATGGAACAAAAAATAACTAATTTGGCCTAGGGTTGTGATATAATTGTTAAATGAGAAGTGGCAAAACATTGGGTTACATTGCCTGGAGGATAGTTTCTATAAATATACTTTTGCTTATGGGGTCTTCTATTTAAATTTTATGACTAAAATTAAAGTTGTAATCTCAACATCATGCTAAATTTTGGAGGAAGAGTATTTTTCTTGGCTGCTCTCTTTGCAAACCCTCCCCTTATAACCTCACCCAGACTTTGTGGCTGTCCAATTACAGACTTCCCAACGCAGCTCAATGAAAAGTCATTGCAAGTCAGGTGCTCTGGGCAATTGCTGCCTCGAGTTTAGCTCCACTGAGCTGAATTACAAGGATCGGTTCGTCTGACAACCAGGGATTGAAACAATGTTAATTTATAATATTGACAATTTTATATTTAATTATGCACTCTGTAAAAGGGAAGGACACATTCTTTACACACAGAGCATTTCACCAAGCTGAAGTGCTTTAGGAGTGGAGTGTCCCCCTGGAATGTCATTTTATTTAAAAAAAAAATTCTCACCCTGTTCGCTTTAAATGAAACTACTCATCTAGTTTATTGAATCCTTCCAGTGGATACTATTGGTTTAGACAGGCATGCTGCTGCTGTACATGTTCATATTTCATAAACGCAAATTATAAAATTTGCTTCCCCTCTTTAGTATTGCTTCATATGTACATTAATGCCACAGTGATGTAATTTCTAGTTAGAAAGGCTGCCAGAAATTGCCAAGAGATGGGGTACTGACAATTACAACTGAGTTTTGAACAAGTTCACTGGCTCTTAATGGTTTTTTTTAATATGTAGATTTAGTAATCTGGGTCTATGGCGTTTATGCAGCGTCCTTCAAAGGAGGTGTAATATGCATACTAGATTTCTTTGTATTTAATTTTTATTATTGAAATTGCTATAGGCTCAAGATGCAGATTCTATTTGCACCAACCACCAAAATCATAACAGGTGACATTTCCATCTGTTTGGTTCTAACTGTAGTAATACTTTTTATGTGTTTTGATTTGATTGTTTCCTTAACTTTCATCACATTGGCTTATGTAACCTACCAAGACATTCGCAAAATCAATGGCCTTAAGGAACAAACCGTTATTGTAGTAAGAGCCCCTCCTGAAACCAGACTTGAAGTGCCTGATCCAGATGAGGTAATATTTAGTTCTAACCAGCTGCCAAACATTAGTCAACCCACTATTTTCTTGCTCTTTCCGTGAGGAATGTTTCCTGTAAGTCCTCTCTCCACATTGTCTGTTATTTATTCCCAGTAAATATGCTTTCAGCTTTTACTGATTTTATAAAGTAAATGAAGTGTGGTTCTCAATGCATTTATACAGAACATGTTACAACTTCATAAGTATAGATCTACAATAAGTCTGTTTGCTTGCTCTCTATAGAAAATGTCCAAATACTTGTCTAGTCTAATTGTGCATTCTGTTTGTCCTGGATCTTGCAGAGTTTGCAGATACATTTAACTAGCAGTCAAGGTGCCATTGAAGTCTACTTATGTCCTGATGCTTCTGAATCAAGCAGTCCGGTAAAGCAAAGTAATCCAGACCTTAATGGAAATATTGCAAAGACTAATTCCAAAGGTAATATGAACTACTTAACTGTAAAATGAAGTACATATAAGATTTAATCTTAAGAGGTGTGGTTAGTTTTTATCTGGTCCTTTTTAATAACTGTCTTGGTCAATCAGAGAAATGTCAATCAGTGATATTACTTTCTGATGATTGGGTACAAATAAAAGTAGTCTGCATAAATGTGCCAAAATCCTAAATTTGGTAGATTTAATATCTTGGAAAACATCTACAGACCCTTTGGGACTTTCCCTAACATCTAAAAAAATATATTCCGAGAAGAGCATTTTTGTTCTGTAGAGTGTCAAGCTAATGAGCTACGCTTTAAAGGGATCCTATAGTGCCAAGAAAACAAAGTAGGTTTCCTGGGACTATAGGGTTAATAGGTTGCACCCTTCTGCAGGACTGAAGGGGTTAAAACAACCCCAGCCACTTACCTGAATCCAGCGCCAAAGTGGTGCTGGGTCAGGCTCCGCCCACACTCCTCCACGCGCCACATTAGGCTTCCCCCATAGGAAAGCATTATTCAATGATTTCCTATGCAGAGCGTGAGCATGTCAAACGTCTGATAAGGGACCAAAAGTCAGGTTGGATTCCGGAAGAGCCCCCAGTGGCTGTCTGGTAGACAACCACTGAGGGCAGACTTGGAACTGCAATGTTTTACAGTGCAGCACTTGGTGCAAAAGGGACTCTGCACCCAGACCACTTCAGTAAGGGGCCGGACTATAGTTTGGGGGGGAAAATTAACGAATTCCTTTACATACTGAAACACATACTGACAGACATATACATACACATACTGACCTACATAGACAAATATACACAGACAGGCGTGCGCAGGCTGGCACGCACTGATATATATGCTGACATACAAACAGCTAATCTTTCTTTCCTGTTTTTTGCAGGAGGGTGGCTGATGGGAGTTGGCGTGGTTCTCGCAGCCTGTCTCTATTCCCTAACCGCAGGGAGGAAGTGACCAGCCATCATTTCCTCCCAGCACTACTTGCGACTGCAATTTTTTTATTTTTTTTTTAAAGGGACCCGGTCGCGCTGTTGCACAGCTGCTGCGCTGACTGAGCCCCTGAAGATATAGGGCCCATCGGGTGACCCTAAATGCTTGGGCCACATGATGGACCCTATCAGCGTGCGGGACCCACTATTGTGGCTAGACAGCGGCGGGTCCTGCAATTGCCGGGTGGCCCGTAGTTTGAGGACCCCTGCTTTAAAGTAACATTCTTCCCTCAAAACTACTTAAATTAGTTTTTAGGGAAGAGAGGCCCTTAAAACTGTTCGCGTGAGGGTATGTTTGGTTGAATCCGTGTGTGTGTGTGTGTGTGTGTGTATCAATCACAGGTTTATAAGTTCATATATAAAGCAATGGTTCATAGTAAATTAGATTGTTAAAATTCAAAGGGATAATGCTAAAAAGTGCACATTTAGGAATCCTAGGTAGAGTTTACAAGATGCTGAGTTTTAGGATTGCGTGCTGTTCCAAAATACCAGTATTTGGGGTGGAAATAATGGTATCTTAAAAGTAAGTATGCTTGTGGTTTGGAGTCACTCGATGCAGCATACCTATGAGATTGCTTTCGGGTAAATTATAATGAAGCCACCCAAGATATTTTGTCCACTGTGATCCATATTTTATAACTATAGGGATCTCCTTTTATTCCGATTGGTGTGGTTTACTGAGATTTGGCCAGACATCAGAGGTGCTGATTATACTGTGATTTGGTGCTGGCCATCTGGCAAAGACCTGCAACAATCTCAATAATTGGGTCTCTGCTTACACCAGAACTTTAGGACTGCATTTAAGCCTAAGGTTTGGATGATGTAACTGCACATCCCAATGTTTAAGGGGTTAAGAAAGCATATGTTATGTTTTCAGGGATATACTGGTTGTCTGAATTAATCTATACACTCAAGGCAATTTGAAGAGTGACTTTTTTTTCCTGGTTCAGACTTGCATAACTGGTTCTTGTACAATTTTGGAGGGGAAATGGTGGTGGGTGGAAAAAGATTGACTCTAGGTTTGTATGCTTTGCCAAAGCCTATACATTTGGAATACAAACAGGAATTTGGGAGGCATGAAAGTAGTAGTAATGTATTTTGGAGGTCTAATTAGGCATTTAGTGACCAGAGGTCCATTGGTAAAAGTGTTTATTGGGAGGAAAAGGGATTCTTTAGCCTCTGATTATCAGAATATTTGAATGTTCATGTTCAGTATGCCTTCCTACTCCCTGTGATAACATTGCACCAAACACTTTAACTGTAAATGCATAAAGTAATGGAATTGTTATAATAATTTGGAATGTGTAATGTCTAGCAATAACAGTGTATACAACATATGCTCTAAGGTGGTAAAGAAAAGTGAATTAAATAGTGGAGGCATGAAAATTGTATTTGTTTTGGTCAATGTAATATCCTTTCAGGACCAGGAGATAAAGGACCACTATAGTGCCAGGAAAACAAACTTGTTTTCCTGGCACTATAGTGTTAACAGGTCCCCCCACCTTCATGGCCCGCCTGCTCAAGAGGGGTTATGAGGTTAAACACTTATCTTTCTCCAGCGCTGGGGACTCTCCTCCCTCTTCCGACGTCATGCGCAGCAAGAGCCACGTGCGCCTTCAATCAGTCCATAGGAAAGCATTTCTCAATGCTTTCCTATGGACGGCAGGATCTTCTCGCTGTGAAAGTCAGTGAGACCGCCACTAGAGGCTGAATTAACTCTGCAATGTAAACCTAGCAGTTTCTCTGAAACTGCTATGTTTACCGCTGCAGGGTTAACCCTAGATGGACCTGACACCCAGACTACTTCATTGAGCTGAAGTGGTCTGGGTGCCTATAGTGGTCCTTTAAGGAAATTAATATTAGGGCATGTCATTTGCTGTAAGTTATAACTGTACTCTAAATCCACCAATTTTCCATGCCAAGCTTCTTGCAAGGCGTTTGCCAGTTAGATTATGAGTAAGTACTACTTGACTATTTTGTATTCCAGTTTTAAAATTAAATGTCATTTCATGATTTTCTTTTCCTCTCAATTATGCAGATACTTTGTCTCCTAATGTGGGTAATTTAAATTGCTCGGTGATGGGCATTTCACCTTTAACATCCCCAAGTAACCTCCTTCAGCAGACAGAGGACCAAATACCTTTGAATCTGGATAGCCCCTTTGTAAACCTGCTTCCTCCTCTCATGCATGAAGACTATCTGCTAAGTCTTGGAGAAGAGGAAGGGATCAGTGATCTATTTGATGTCTATGAATTAGAGAAGCTACCATCCTTGGAGGACTTCATGTGCAGCTGATTGTTAGACTTGATTTTTTTTTTTTCTGCAGACCTTTTGGTTTGTCTTGAGTACCTTCCATATGGGACCCGATATACTTGAGAATGTCACATCTCGACACTTTCATCTCTTCCTTTCCTGAGCCCTTCCAACAATGACTGCAGCTTCATGAAATGAATGCTACTACAGCTGCAGAAACTGCAATGACCTGAACAAACTGGTCCTCGAGGCTATGCAAGATTTATAGGATGATTCATTGACTGGGTTTGTCCAAGGCACAAATTTGCACCATGTGTAATATTCTTCAATAATAGCAGTTTTTGATCTATAGGCCATGGTCTGGTGAAGCCTGTGAATGACATGAAGTGTCAACCTGTGCCTTCCTATGTATTTCATTATCCCACCCTTCTCTCTTGTGGAGATAGCCACAATAAATGTGAACTGTCATTTTGGAGATGCTGTGTCTATATTTTGTTTTGTTTTTTTGTTGTGTTTTTTTTTTTGTTTTGGCTTTTACAACCTATAATTATTTTATAGCATTAATTGTTACTTGTGTAAAGGACAACTTCAGACACCATCTGAGGTCTCCAGATTTTTTATTTTCTGCCTTTTTTTGATGGTTGCTAATTGGGTCATTAAGGTTGGATGTTACCTTGCATTTGAGGTTTGGCACTATTTATTTAAAGACTTTGATAGGCAAATTCCTCAGTTTACAATGCCCTCTAGTATTTTTGTGCTTTAAGCTGGTTTGAAGTGCCTGCAACTGCATAACCTATTTTTAGTAATTATCTTCAAAACCTTAAATCTAAATATAAGGTTCCCTTTTATCACTTGTATTCCAAGGCTGACATTTTGACAATGCAGTTTTTTACATTATGCTGTTTTTACGTTTTTATTTTTGTCTGAAACACAATCGCAGGTGATCAGATATCAAATCTCTCTAGTTTATTTCAAAATAAGTTTTGTAACGCACTTCTGCATTTATACTTTAAGATTTAGTGATGCGTTTACTTTCCTCTTTGACATTTCAGATCTCGATATAAAAACTTTATGGAAGAAAGTCATTTTAAATATTTGTTCCAATCAGAACTACAATTTTACCAGGAAAGTACATTAAGATTTTATTAATGTTTTCAAAATATGGCTTGTGATATAGAAACCTTTCCAACTAGTTGGATGGAGGCCAATGCTTGGCTGCATCAATGCATGTTTATCAGTCCTATATCAATTTCAGAGTGAAGTGGAGATTCTTACAGCACCAAGGCTTGCTGACCAGATCTCTGGGTAGAGTTAAAGCTTGTATTTGAAAAACTGGATTTTAATAATTAAATTCCTACATATCATCTTGCAAAAAGCAAATCTTATTTATAAAGTTTAACTGCCCCCTTTCTCCTCCCAAAACGTTTCATATGTGACCAAAAGGAAGCCATAAGTGAACTGATGGTAGTTCTATTCCCAGGTAGTTCTATTAACCCAAAAAAAATTGCTCTAGGCAACAGTTTGACATTCTAGATGTGAACAATGGCTTGCATAATGCTCATTCAGTTAATTTGGAGTGCCAAAGTGTGCCTGCCACCTGTTAACGCTGAGCAAATTAGATTTTGTGTGGAATTTTATTTTTGTCGTCCCAGCAGACACTCTGCAAAATGCTGTCAACATTTGATGTTTTACATATAAATACAATGTCAACACTTTGGCCAGTGTCATGTTGGCAAACTGTTGACTCAAATACCCAAGTCCGATTTAATTACCTTTTGTGGAAATTTGAAGGAGTACTGCGACTTGCCTTACTTGAAATTAACATAGCTGTTTTGTGTACCATCAAGTGAAAGGGTGTTTTTTTTTTTTCCTTTCATATGGTATGTGTCTCAGATTAAAGATGCCTGCATCAAGACGAATGTTAGCAATAAAGACTACATATTACAAATGGACTTGCATCAAAAGATGTATTGTAATGTTTAATGACCTGTCACTTGGAAAATGTTTTGCCAAACACGTTTTACAGCAGCTCTTTAAGCTATACATAATCTTGCTTAGTATAGTAGATTTGTATAAATGCTTTTTAATTTCATATGCCAATGCATTATTTATACCTTGGCTGCATCATTGAAAATGATGTGTGCAGCTTTTGGTACTATTTGGGTTGCTGCTATTTGGGTCTTTACAAATGGGTGGGAGAGGACTTTAATGACTTAAACTTGCCTATTTAAAATTAAACGTGATGCCTAAAAGGTTAACTATTGTTAACAGTGTTAAGTATATTTTGTATGCCCTGTTTTTGTCTGTCTTCGATTGGGAGAAAATGAGTTTGGTGTATTTTACATGGGAAAGGGCAGACTCTTTTTTTAATTAAATTAAAAATGTCTTATTTAATAGTCTTGCAGACCATAACTGGATGGAACCTGTGTTAGAAAAATATAGGGTGGTATTTTATTTTAGCTGAACTTTTATTCCCAGAAAAAAAATGTATTTGGAATCTTTTGCTCTGAGGTGTATCAATTTACTGGGGTGGGTAAACCAAGCTTTGATTAAATTATTTTTGTGTGATTTTTAGATGAAACCGAAGTGTAAAATAATGTAAAAAAAAAGCTTTTAAATGCCATTTGTAAATACACATAGAATTACCTGTAATTTAGCTATGTTACCACTTTTGATGTTCTTTAAATACATCTTTTTGTAAAGTAATCAATAAATGATTTTTCTAATGCCTTTGTAAATGATGTGTTGGTATTAAAAACACATTTGTCTGGTCTAAGAACTAATCTCACATGCCATGTATAACTTTTGGAACCCCCTCCCCATTCAGTCACCTGTTTTTAGGCATGATTTGAGCAAATTGAGTGTAGTGTAAATAGCCCAGTTCAATTTTTTTTTAAACAATTTTTTTACTCAGTCCATATCTGATAAGGGCCTGCAAGATTTGTTTGACCATCCTTTAAAGCAATTCAGTCTCATAAAAAGGGTGGTCACTGTAGTTATAAACATATTGGTTATAGCCAGAAAATTGTTGCATGTTTTATGCTGCATGGTTAGTCTAGGGATTTTGCCTAATTTGCCAGTACCCGCACAGTGACATCACCACTGGAGGGGGCAGGAAAAGGGGAGTTCTACTTACCTCAACCTGTCCCTTGTGGGTGACTACATCCTCTTCCGCTCCTGGCACTTCAACTCAAGGAGCCAACGTCACTGCTAAATGCATGTGAGTATAGCATGCAGGTCTATGGAGAACATTGTAGGATCGTCAATAGAGCCAATTCCTTGCAGGTGTCACTGATGACAGCTCGGGGATTGACACTTGACGGCATTACCTATGCCCAATGTCAAATTTAGGAAAATGCATAACAATTTTGTTTTTGGTTCTAAATAAATGGGAGCAGGGGGTTGGAAAGTTGAAACTACTTGGGGAGAGGGGTTAAGTACGGAATATCGGGCCACTGAAAGTGTCAACACTTCAGAAAGTTGGAGACCTGATAAGGTTTTTGTTTTGTTGTGGATATATATATTTTTCCTTCTTGGAGAAATTTCAGAGCATTGTTATTTTGTCTCTGGCCTGTTTTCTGCACTGTGGATATTCGATGGTGCCCATATAGATAGACTGACTGAGAAGTTATCTTCTGCAGTCCACTGTTGTAACATGTACATTACTTTCCAGGTAACGAATACTGTTCACACTTTGCTTTTGTATTCCTCCTTGGTACAGGCTAATTCAGAATGTTATTTATTTTAATCCTTTTAGCATTTGTCATTAGAATGGATTGCCACGTACATAATTTACATAGATTATTCTCAATAAAGTGAAAACCTAGGTAACTTTACAAAGTGGACTTTTCCTTTGAACTGACTGATTTTTAGGAATATCTCTGAATTCTGGATCTAGTAGCTTAAATGGCAGTTCTGCAGTAAGGGTTGTTGTATGTATTAAACATTGGTAAAACAAACATGTAGTACTGTATATTGGTATATGCACTGTTCTGTTTACTGCTTCCCATGAGACTGATCCAGAATCACTAAGTCATTGTGCTGCTGGATGTATAAATCTAATGAAATGTTTAACTAGGGCTTACAATTTAAAGTCCTATGCTAGTAGTCTGCCCTTAAAGGTTACTTGCTACAGCAAACCATAGTAAATTCAACATGTGATTTTAAATGGTTTTTTTTTTAAATTTATTTTTTAGCTGCCAGGATGTCAGCCTCTATGCCAGTGTGTATTTGTTTACTATTCCATTCTGCAATTTCATAACTACCTATTCAACCATCCTCTGTTCTGTAGAAGTAATTGTTACATATTGTAAAACTGCCACTTTTACTGGACTCTTCATATTTTATTCTTAAAGGGGTTACTCCAAGCATCATGACTCTGTATTTTCAAGTGACCATGGTGACTTGGAGTCTCTATATAATATATGCAGTGTCTTGTGATGAAACAAATAATTTAAGCACCTTCCTGCTGGAGGTGTAACTCCACCTCTAACAGTCATTTGGTTGTCTATTGCCTTTTCTGTGTATATTCTATGAACAGCCTCACTCTGGCTGATAGTACACAGCAAAACTCTCCGTTAAACAAGTGGCAGGTATATCATCTGGCTTCAGCTCTATGTGGATGTAGTTAATCCTTCATTTCTTATCAAGTGTATTGCTGCAACACACTTTATTTTTTTTTTTTTTTTAAACAAGGTTTCTTAAAATGCCATATCTTAGCAAACAAATATAGGGAATTGGTTTACATTTATGACCACTTCATGTTAATCCCACTACTTCAATTTTGGTGTGCTTGATTTCAGTTTTAACACAGCAGGTAAACATTTTAAACTGCAAAAATCACTACAGCAAACAGTGATGCACTGTGTTCTGACACCTTTCAATCATGGCCAACATTCACTTTTTAAACAATTTTGAGCCACAGTTGCTCTTCTCTGTGATCGGACCAGGCAAGCCTTCACTTCTCATGTCTACCAATGCGCCTCGCACACCCATGACCCTGACAGTTCAGTCTGTCCTTGATTGCACCAATTTATGTATGTACAAACTTCTGCATACTGGGAACACCCACAATATTTCCCATATTTGGAGATGCTCTGACCATGATCTAGTCCTCACTATTTGGCCCTTGTCAAAGTTGCTCAGATCTTTTTGCTTGCCCCCTTCTTACAACAAAATTTAAGAATTTGTTGAAGGGGCATACAGCTTAAAATCTGTTAAATAAAAACATACATTTGACTGTCTCTGGAAGTAGTAAGCATCACAGCATGTTAGTCGATGGACCCACCACTATGAGGTACAGTGAATTAGTGGGCTTAATATTGCCAAAAGGTGTAACTAAACTCCCATTTTTGCTGGGAGGTGATTCTTAGTAACTGTGTAAGACGTAACTTTTATTTGGTACTCAAGCTGTTCCTTAATTTACATTTTGGTCTTTATACCAACACCACTATTGAAGAATTCATGTTCTGGGTGTGCCTCACCCTTTATTCATTTAAGAATGTATTTGGCATGAATCTTCTTATCCTTATGAATCATGTATTTATGTGAAGAGATGTTTTCCAGTATCAAGCACTATTTAAACTGGTGACTGGAATAACCGTGAATTGGTGGTAAAAAAAACATAAGTGGTTTCATTAGAGTAATCTTTAATTGTTATTGTATATTAATAATCCATTGTATGGCATACGACTTCCAAAAAATTGAGCATATCTGGTTTAAAGCCTGCTGTATCGTGTCTGTTAATCTAGGACAGATGTAAGCGATAAAATGAACGCTCTCTTAAAATAGTGTAAAGAGCCAACCAGCAATCTAGCAGATATAGACTGCTTCCACATGGCATCTGCTAATCCAATGACCGGATCACTGTCCCCAGCCAGCTCGGATAGCTACTGGCTTCTCTAGGGATACAGACATCTGAGACTTGCCTTCCCAGGAAGATCTGGCCTTCATGCCTGCAAAACTGGAGTTTTCATTCCAACATAAGTTAAATGGTTTAGCAATTGACCTCTGCCCTATTGGCAATCACATGCAATTTCTTTAAGATGACAGATGGCCTTGGCATGTAAATACACCAACTGCACAATCATGCTGCAGATCAGACAAACTGTTACATTGAGAACACTGACAGAGGTAAGTGATATAATTTAGAAGTCTGCTGGTGCAAAAAAATGGCAATTGAAATCTGCAGGAGATGGTCAAGTTTATTTTAATACACTTTTGAAGAAACCCCTAAACATTACCTACCTATACAGAGCCCACTGGGCACTCCAAAAGCACCCCTACTGATGTACCGAAGGTTATAAAATGCACACTGCATTACTACTCCAAGGAAGAAATCCAGTGTCAATCTGAGGTACACAGATGGTAGAGAATAAAAGTAAGATTTGTTTGATTTAAACTCCTCATTAAAATGGAAGGCAGATGGATTACTGTAGGATCTGGTACTTAGAGATGTGGATAAAAGACATACTGCACGGTCTGTCTCTTTTACATAATTCAGTTTCTGCACTTTCAGATTGTAGTGGTGTTATGGAGACAGGCTCAGGCACAGTTTGTGGATCCACCATCCTTCTAAGGCAGGGGTTCTCAACGTTAGTTCTCAGGACCCCCTACCAGTTTAGGGAGTACCTGGGTGTGTCTCAGGTGTTTAGACAGAAAAAAAACACCTGAGACACACCCAGGTAATCCCCCCAATCCTGCACTGGCAGGGCGTCCTGAGGACTGGGTTGAGAACCCCTGTTCTAAGGTGTGCAAGACTGCAGCAAATGACAAAAAGGACAGGGTGAGGCCTGATACAAAGCAGTTGTTGGGGAATTATATCATAAGAGGTGTGGAGTTGGGCAATAGTGGCTTTGTGAAATGTCTTTCTGAAGCTACTGCTCACAGAGAAAGGAGACGTATTTGTAATGTTAAGCAAGCAAACCAAGAAGGGCATTGGATGTACTTCACTTGGGGACAAATGATTTAGCTTGTAATGAGGTTTAAAAGATAAAGGAAGTTTGTGTTCTTGTCCATGATATACAACCAACGATGTCCACACAAGTTGTTCCTGTATATAACATTCAGAATGACATGCAGATGTGCAGAAGGAACTCATGGCTTGCTGAATGGTGTCAGGAGCAATGATTTAGCTTTGTTTCTCATGGTAGCTCAATTTGGAACAGAAATTAATTATACAAAAAAGATGGTTTGCATCTCTCTCAAAAGAAGAAATGTTCTCCACAAGCAGTTCAGAGGTGTTGCTAGGAAGTATTTAAACTATGATGGGGGATAAAATATCAATCCAATTGCTCCCCAACACAATGACAAAGTAACTGCTGCGAGTGTGTTAAAAAAAAATGAGCTTAGAATCATATATATAAATGCTTGCAGTTTAGGGAATAAGACTAATGAACTTGTGGCAATAATGGCAACTGAGAATGTAGATTTAGTGGCTGTTGTTGAGACACGATATCATGAGAAAAATGACTGGGCTATAGCAATACCAGGGTACTCTTTTTCTATAGAAAAGATAGGGAAGGCAAGAAAGGGGGAGGTTGGCCCTATATGTGAAGGATAGCATAAAATCTAACCTAATAAAAGTTAGTGAAACAAACCGTCAGTTTGGGTTACGTTGGAATTTGGTAATCTCACAGTAACTTGTGTAAGTGTGATTTACAGCCCCCCTGGACAAATAGAAGAGTTAATCTACTTGTTGAGAAAATGGCTAAAATGACATTACAAGGGGATGTTATTATTATGGGTGACTTTAATCTTCCTGATGTGAGCTGGAAAAGCAAAACCGCTTTTTGTGTCAGGAGCACACACATTCTAAATTCCCTACTGGGATTATCTCTAAAAAAAAGTTGTTGAGCCAACTCATAAGGAGGTCATACTAGATTGATTTAAGAAATGGAGATTTAGCATCAGATATTACTGTAGGTGAAAGTTTAGGATCTAGTGATCACCAATCAGTGTAGTTTAATATAAGAAAAGTGAGTCACACCACACAAAAACAGGTTTTTTAGACTCTAGGAAAAACAACTTTCATATATTTGTTTCCCCTTTTGCGTTGCATTACTAAAATAAATGAACTTTTGCACGTTATTCAAATTTTTCAAGTATTACCTGTATTATTAACAAGCATTGACACCTTCTTAGGAAAGATAGGGAATTACAGACACAATTACCTGATAAACCTTTCATAACTTTTAGAGGGGCTCCGAATAGTAAAAGTATTTTTTAACTCATATTCAACCTTCTGACATAATTACAAAGGATAAGACTGACAAGAATTTAAAAAAAAAAAAGGTTTTTATTCCTGTAATAAGTGTATAGGCTGCAGTCACTGTAAGAATAAATCGCTAAAAAGTATTAATAAATTCAGAACCAAATATGATGAACAAGAATTTTTATAAATGATTTTGTAACATGTTTTACTAGAAATGTAATATATTTGTTAAGATGCCCCTGTGGATTACAGTATATTGGAAGGACTATACACCCATTACATAAAAGGATAGCTGAGCATGTTAATATTAAGAAAGGGTACAGGCAGCATAGCGTCTCAGCACTTTTTAAGAAATGCCACAATATGAACCCAAGTGGCTTAACCCTCCTAGGCATACAAAATGTAAAAAAAAAGCGTGGAGCGGGGGGGGGGGGGGAGGTGAATAGATTAAATACCCTAACCCCATATGGACTCAATGTAGAGTTTGACCTTTTTAATTTTTTTTATAAAA